CGTGATCCGCCCGTCTCGGCCTCCCAAAGTGCTGGGATTACAGGCTTGAGCCACCGCGCCCGGCCGAAAAGGAATGGCTATGTCCCCTGATCAAGAGAAGATCTTAGGCTATAAAACCACAACTCTCCTCTTTCCCTTCTGCCAACTGAAAATGTGCTTCACTCTGAAAATAATGCTAATAAAAATATCTATATACACATATAAAATGTCACTTTTAAAAGATGTTAACTATAAAATAGTAGCTAGGGATAAGAGTTCTTAAGTCAAATCCCTGGAATCAAATTAGCTCTCCAAAACAAAACAAAACAAAAAAAGGCCGTGGCCGGGCACAATGGCTCACACCTGTAATCCCAGCACTTTAGGAGGCTGAGGTGGGTAGACTGAGGTCAGGAGTTCGAGACCAGCCTGGCTAACATAGCGAAACCCCGTCTCTACTAAAAATACAATAAAACTAGCCAGGCGTAGTGGTGCACACCTGTAATCCCAGCTACTTGGGAGGCCGAGGCACAAGAATCGCTTGAACCCCGAGGTGGAAGTTGCAGTGACCTGAGGCTGCACCACTGCACTCTAGCCTGGGCAACAGAGCAAGACTCCATCTCCAATAAATAAATAAATAAACAAACAAACAAACAAAAACAAATTAGCTCTGCCAGTTGCTACCTTGGGAAAGTCCCTTAACCTTTCTAAACCTCTTTCCCACCTATGAAAGTTAATAATTGCTTAATTCCCATGTTTTGAGAATAAGAGAAATACTCTATATGGTGCACTCATGACTGACTAGGACACTGTAAGTACCCGTATTCAATTCAACAATGATCTGCATTATTTCTGATTTACTAATCTGCACTACTAAGCACAATAAGCTCTAAGTAATAAGCACAAAAATTACTAACAATTATTTTAAATATTTGTTAGTGGTACATACCTTATAATCAATGAAAGATTCTTGTTCCTGTTGACACTGGGAAAGATAATCCTTCATATCATTCAATTCATCTTCGTGTATCTTTCTGACTAACTGTTGACGCTTCTGAATCTGAATTGTGCCTAAAATAAATATTTTTATTAAGGGTATGTAACATAATTATTATCATTCAATGTTTTATTTATTTTTAAACATTGGTAATCTGCATATAAGCTATGTAATCTTTTTTTTTGAGACAGAGTCTCGCTCCGTCGCCCAGGCTGGTATGGTCTCAGCTCACTGCAACCTCTGCCTCCTGGGGTTCAAGCAATTCTCGTGCCTCAGCTTCTCGAGTAGCTGGGACTACAAGCAAGCGCCACCATGCCCAGCTAATTTTTTGTAGAGACAGGGTTTTGCCATGTTGGCCAGGCTGGTCTCAAACTCCTGGCCTCAAGTGATCCACCCACCTTGGCTTCTCAAAGTGCTGGGATTACATGTGTGAGCCACTGTGCCTGGCCATAACCTATGTGATCTTAACAATCATTTTATTCAGAGTATCATCAGCATTTCACCATTCTTTAAAAATTCTGATTACATAAAGAATAAGTAACTAAGGCTGGGCACGGTGGCTCACGCCTGTAATCCCAGCACTTTGGGAGCCAAGGCAGGTGGATCATTTGAGGTCAGGAGTTCAAGACAAGCCTGGACAACATGGTGAAACCCCGTCTCTACTAAAAATGTAAAAAAAATTTTTTAAGATAAGTAAGTGAAAGCCCATGATCATTCATCAGATGATGGTGAACATTTACGTAATATAAGTAAGGCCACGTAGGCCAGTTTTTAAAAACATTTATTTACATATACCCACGAACATTTAAGCAGTTCACTATCTTTTGTATTAAAACACACAGGCCCACCCATATGGCTCTAACCAAGAGAACAATTTATGTAATGTTCTTATCTTACTATATTGAAGGCACTCAGCTTTGTTGTTTTGGGGGTTATCTTTAAGTACAAAAAGTGTTTCAGCCTCCTTTATACAGAGAAATGAACAAACCCTGGTGTTTTTTCACAGGTCATGAAGTCAATAAGGAAAAATGAAAACCTTTTTTTTTTTTTTAAATATTTTGCCTAAAGGATACAACAAAGCCCAAAAAGTACAGCACAGAAAATAATTGGCTAATGGTGACTGTGCACCATTCTCAAAGCCAAATTTGTTAAGAATTCTGCAATGGTTAAATCTGTACTGGAGTAGCACTGTCCTTCTACCAACAGTGATAAAAGAATCGGACAGGCGTGGTAGCTCACGCCTATAATCCCAGCACTTTGGGAGGCCAAAGCAGATGGATCACCTGAGGTCAGGAGTTCAAGACCAGCCTGACCAACATGGAGAAACCCTGTCTCTACTAAAAATACAAAATTAGCCAGGGCATGGTGGCACATGCCTGTAATCCCAGCCACTCGGGAGGCTGAGGCAGGAGAATCGCTTGAACCCGGGAGGCAGAGGTTGCGGTGAGCTGAGATCATGCCACTGCACTCCAGCCTGGGCAACAAGAGCAAAACTCTGTCTCAAAAAAAGAATCTTAAACCAACTAGGATTCTTCATATTTTCACCCTAAAAATCAAAATGTTACTTTACTCAGACATGCTGTTCACATGCTTCATGTATGGGGGGAAAAAACCACGAAATCAAAAATAAGGCAAAATGCAGTTAGCTACAACATTACATCTACTAAGTATAGATACTATAGAATTTTACAAAGAAAGGATGCAATGATCGCTATTTCTTCCCTTACTGATATAAAAATTATTTTAAATGTCTTCAATACATCTTGAAAAATACTAAAAACAACTTTTGCCAATTTACAGATAACGGTTACATATTCTAGCTATGGTATTCTGTGTTAGAATTCATTTCCTCTCTTTAGATTTTCCAATTTATAGAAGCATGGCAAGCTTGTTTCAAAACTACTCAGAAGAATCCCCGATTTTTTCACATGTTGAAGGAAATTTATCTATAGTTCCCAGAGTAACAGAAAACTTCTGCAATTTCTGTTTCAAACTGCTAAGAAGATTAATTCCTTTGCCCACTGGAAAATAATCTAAAACTGTGTTGGGGTCTGAATTCAAGATAGTATAATATAGCATATGCTTGATTACTGTCTTAATGTGGCCTTTTACAGTATTACTGACTAATCACTTGGGGGTTTTTCCTGCACCTTCGGCTGCCTAAAGTGTTATCCTCAAGATACAATCTTTGGCCTAGTCATGTCTACAAATGCTGCCTATTGTACCATGTTGCACCACTGTCAGATTTTGCTATCACTCCTATTAAGAATTCCAATCTACAGATCTAGTCCTAACTTCTCATCAGAGCTTCTAATCAACACATCCAGCTGCGTAGGGGGCCTCTTTGTAGGGTGGGGGGAAAAAAAAAAAAAATCAAACCTCAACACCTGCCCCAAACCAAACCAAACTGTGCTTACCATCTATTTATCATCTGGCAACACTTCCCCAGTAACCCCAACTCCAAAAGTGAAGCAGCTAGCACATTTCCTACAATTTAATAAACTGCCATTATTTTCCATTATTCCTTCAATGTCCCTTATTCCATTCCCACTGTTATTCCAATCGTCAAGGTCCTCCTCACCAAATATCCAGATTACAGAACTCCTAACAACTATTCTACATTTTCCCATACCACTTTTTCCACACCAGCAAAACGTTCCGGCACTCTTTTTCTCTAACCTGATAGCAGGTTACTCAATAAATCAAACTTTCCTATCGATTCCAAGATGTTTTACAATATACAGTTGACCCTTGAGCAACGTGAGTTTGAACTACATGGCAGGATGCAAAATCCAATAGCAGGATGCAAACTCCAGGTATATGGAGAGGTGACTTTTCGTGTATGTGAGGTCCGCCGTCAAGGGACTTTAGTTTGTATGGATTTTGGTATGGGTGCCTCCTGGAACCCATCCCTCATGGACATCAAGGGATGACTATAACAGCACCCCACCCACTCCATTATTTCTAAATACCTACTCTGCTATAGTCCGGGCAGTCTTTTCACTGCTCCCAAACCCAAGATTACTTCTTCCTCGGGTTATCAGATTCTCTATTGCTGGAATGTTCTACCTTCCTTGAGTCTATCATAAACTTACTATGATTAGACACAATTTAAATCTTACCACCTCTATTTCTTCACCAGTCCCTGATATGCAGTAGGAGCTCAACGAATATTTGCTGAATGAATTTAATGTTAAGTGAAAAAAACAAAAACAAAAAACAAAAAATCAAGGTGACTCCGAGAATAGCCCCAAATGCAGAAGTTTGTCTGTTACATACACTTACACTCAACACCTTAGCCATGCCTCTTAGACCTACAGTCTTGCCGGGGTTTCTTTTCTTTGGGTTTCTTTTCCTTGGCCATGTCTATTGTGTTGAAGGACATTCAGAGCCCATTCAAGGGCACATCACTTTTGACTACAGCACAGAAGAATCTTGGAGTACAAATCTCCTATTTAAAAAAATATTTTAAAAAATCTTCTCCTGTTCAAATCATTTCTCCTTGAGGAGCAATTGTATCACCAGCCAATAAACGTCGGTTGAAATAAATGAATTGAACTATTTAAAAAAAAAAAAAAATCTTACCACCTCTGGGATAATTCAGTAAGTGTATGCTTTGAGCTGTAATTCATTCTGTGCTCTATAACTTAGCATCTAGATATCTTGTTATGTAATAGTCTGCCGAAGAGCCAGGTAGTCTATCAATACTTCAAGCAACTCAAGGAGAAAACTAAATCAATTGAACTCCATTGATGATTTGGAATGTTGATAGTCACAAGTAAATGTAAGAAGAAAGACTGCTTCATTCATGACATTTTCAGATGGAGTACACTGGAGTATACTGCTTTACTATCCTTAGTCGTGCTAGCTTTCTCTTCCCTGCAGTGTAAATCTGCCAATTCAAATTTGTATGGCACCAAGGCTGACAAATGCAGAATGATTCAATCAGTAGTATGGTATTGTTAAATTATTATAAAGCAGGCCAGGTACAGTGGCTCATGCCTATAATCCCAGCACTTTGGGAGGCTGAGGCAGGCAGATCACTTGAGGTCAGGAGTTCAAGATCAACCTGGCCAACAGGGCAAAACCTCATCTCTACTAAAAATACAAAAATTAGCCAGGCGTGCTGGTGGGCACCTATAATCACAGCTACTCGGGAGGCTGAGACAGGAGAGTCGTTTGAACCTGGGAGACGGAGGTTGTAGTGAGCCAAGATTGCACTGCTGCATTCCAGCCTGGGCAACAGAGCAAGACTCTGTCTCAAAAAAAATAAAATAAAATTATAAAGTGAATGAATGACTATGGGATGCAATGACTGACTTCACGGTGAATGGGAAATTCAAAATGGCTCTGAAATCAACTCCAAAGAATGTTGAGATCAGTGCTAAAATTTAAAAATGTGATGTCTTGCTGGGTGCGGTGGCTCATACCTGTAATCCCAGCCCTTTGGGAGGCCAAGGTGGGCAGATCACCTGATGCCGGGAGGTCGAGACCAGCCTGACCAACATGGAGAAACCCCGTCTCTACTAAAAATACAAAATTAGCTGGGCATGGTGGCAGATGTCTGTAATCCTAGATACTCGGGAGGCTGAGGTAGGAGAATCACTTGAACCTGGGAGATGAAGGTTGCAGTGAGCCGAGATCATGCACTGCACTCCAGCCTGGGCATCAAGAGCAAAACTCCGTCTCAAAAAAAAAAGTGATGTCTTTTAAGTAGTGATTTGGAAAAGTCATTTAGGTTAGGTCTTGTATGTTAATTAAACTAATCTGATTACCATAAGGCCTACTTCATAATGTATTATCCAGGCTTTTCATATTCTGAAAAGGCTAATATGAAGTAAAGGACAATGTTTTATTAATTAACTATTAAGGTAAATTTTACTAATAACCAAAATCCTACATAACAGAGAGGTAACTTCTCATTTTGAAAGCACTCCTGTAAAATGATCTTTCTACAAAATATTCAAAGGTCATGTAAATAGTGAAGTTTTAATTTGGATTAACACTTTAAATCACTATCCAATTTTTTTTGAAGAAAAAAAGATTAAGATAAGATCTTCTCCTTTGTTACTCTCATGTTTACCTGTGGAGGGAAAATCATACTCAAATACATATTGATTAATTTGTTTCGGCTAGTCTATAAAGGTAAATATATATTTCCAATCAAATCTTATTACAACAAATTTCAAGAAAGGATACAAATAATAGTATCTCAGTATTAAATTCAAGCAGGCATCCATCAGAAATCTAAATACATATTTTTATTAATATAAATACAAGAAACACATCTTGCAAGCTCTGACTTTAAACAGGTATTGTCTTCATTAAGTCTATTCTAACATTACGCTATGTTGAATAATAAACCTTTTCCACAAATCCACATAGGATACATGTAATTCTTCAATCTTTGCATAAGAAATACATTTTTCCAAGGAACTAGCAAAATGAAAGTTAGACTGTGGATTATGCAGGCAAAAAAAACTAAAAGTAGTTAATATAAAGCAAGCTAAAATTCGGGAATTTGACAAGATCTAAGACGTTTCCTTTTAAATTGTCTCTACCCCAAATTCCAATACAGCAAAGAGTCAAAGTTCAGGTTTCAAATACTCCAGTCACTGTACAAATACATACCTTAAATAAGAGATTCAGGCCAGGCATGGTGGCTCATGCCTGTAATCTCAGCACTTTGGGAGGCTGAGGCAGGTGGAGCACCTTAGGTCAAGAGTTCAAGACTGGCCGGGCACGGTGGCTCACGCCTGTAATCCCAGCACTTTCGGAGGCCAAGGCAGGTGCATCACAAGATCAGGAGATCGAGACCAGCCTGGCCAAGATGGTAAAACCCCGTCTCTACTAAAAACGCAAAACAATTAGCCAGGCATGGTGGTGGGCACCTGTAATCCCAGCTACTCAGGAGGTTGAGGCAGGAGAATTGCTTGAACCCAGAGGTGGAAGCTGCAGTGAGCCGAGGTCGCACCACTGGACTCCAGCCTGGGCGACAGAGCGAGACTCTGTCTCAAAAAAACAAACAAAAAAAAGTTTGAGACCAGCCTGGCCAACACGGCAAAACCCCATCTCTACTACAAATACAAAACAATTAGCCAGGCATGGTGGCAGGCGCCTGTTACCCCAGCTACTCGGGAGGCTGAGGTAGGAGAATTGCTAGAACCCTAGGGGTGGAGTTTGCAGTGAGCCAAGATCATGCCACTGCACTGCAGCCTGGGCGACAGAGTGGGACTCCGTCTCCCAAAAAAAAAAAAAGAGAGAGGTTCAATGGGTGAGGCTCCTAAATGAGAAAGTAAAGTAACACCAATGGAATACCTTCCTCTTCTCACCCAAAAGGCATTTAAAGGCTTTGAATTGATAAGATGACCAACATATATAAATAGTATCAATCATAATAAAGAGCAAAGTATAAGAATAAAGATGAAAACCTCTCAATTCATGTGAATCACAGAAACAACAATGAAAGTTATAAAGTATGATACTTACATGAAACCTCAAAGTAGAAATAATGAACACTTACTATTTCTACATTTCAAATATAACCATTTCAACTGTGATTTAAATAATCTTCCTAAAAAACTCACACTTCAACTTAGTTTAACTATGATTCTAAATGTAAATGATTTCCCTCATGGTGAGCATTTCAGATTTTTAATCTTCCATCTTTTAACTTTAAAAGAGTCACAAATATATGTGGTTATTATCTTTACACTTATTAATAACTACTACCTTATTTAAATAAAAAGCTTTGTGAGATAGGCAGCACCCACTTCCCGAATGAGAAAACTGAGGCTCAAACAGGCTTCAAGTTTTCAAGGCCATATATTTAATAATGGCACTGAAAACATATCCCAGGATTCCTCACTCCTAAGTGCCTCTACACTATCCCATCAGGTTACACATTTTTGAATACTTACCATAGAAATGTCCAAATCCCATGCTGATTGCAATCACCAAAGCAAGTATAACACACTTATTGAGACCACTACTGAACTGACGTTTACTCAACTCCTTAGAAGGTTCGGTTTCTTGTTCAGCAACTAGCCGGTCTTCAGATTCTGAAGTAGAAACAGTCTTCTTCCTAGCACGGCGTCGTCTAAAGGCAGGGCTGGGCTGGTTACTGGTTTCATCACTACTTGATTCATCGTCACTAGGCTGAGATGAAAATACTATTAAGAAAAAAGTTGACATTTAGCGATTCAAAATCTTGGAAATGCTTTCCCAGTAAAAATTATTTAGAATAATCAATGCCATCCCTTACATGCCTTTTTACACGAGATAGCCAAAAACAAAAACCAAACAACATAAACAAAAACACAGGTTTTCAACTCATCTACATAAAGCCAAAACATAAAGCATTTCAAATGTGATACACAAGAATCTGTTAATCATATTCATTTGTGCGTTGAAAGCCTATCTCTGGTTTTTTTTAACCCTCCTCGCCTTATAGTTTACACTATTAGAATAATCCTTCAGTCTCATAGCCTCAAGTTTCACGGTTGGCCAGGAGCGGCGGCTCACGCCTGTAATCCCAGCACTTTGGGAGGCCGAGGCGGGCAGATCACCTGAGGTCAGGAGTTCAAGATCAGTCTGGCCAACATGGCGAAACCCCTTCTCTACTAAAAATACAAAAATTAAACGGGTGTGGTAGTGCACCTATAGTCCCAGCTACTTGGGAGGCTGAGGCAGGAGAATCACTTGAACCCGGGAGGTGGAGGTTGCAGTGAGCCGAGATCCTGCCACTGTACTCCAGACTGGGAGACACAGCATAACTCTGTCTCAAAAGAAACAAAATTTCATTGCTATTACAGGTATAAACAAGTATTATTTCTGGAAAGAGAAAACAATACTCTCTGTCTCTTCATTCAGTTTCAAAGAGGTAATTGAAGTGCAACAGTTTAAGGAACACAGGAAAGTACACAAGCATTTCCTGTGACTTATAAAGTAAAATAACTACCAAGTTTCCTTGGGTGTATCTGGTCTCTAGTTTCATTTCTAACCTGATTAGCCCACGATCAAGGTTCAAAGCACTCTATTTTAACATAGGTTTCCAGAAGTCAGATGAGTCCTTCCCTTCGACTGCCACTCTTACTAGAAGGTTATTAATTTTACCCTCTAGTAAATATGTCAGCATGAGGAAGTGACACAACAGCTATCTCCGATATTAAGGACTATTCTGATGCTGCTCCTATATGAAAATAATAGTAGAGAAAAGCAAACTGGTGGGAAAAATCTGCACAAGAAATCCTAAGTCCAGGAAACAAATTCCCTGGAAAAATCACCTTCAGTTTTTTCCAAATGCATTAATTTCTTAACACGGTTCCATATATCAACAAACTGTATGTTGACACAAAAGCTTCGATTACTCAGAAAAATTTCCACAAGCTACTTAGAGGAAAAGCACTAAAAGGAAGGATAAAATATGAACTTGAATACAAAGAGCTCTAAAACAACAAACATTCATGCTCCAGAAAAGCAAAAACAGTTCTTCAGAAGACAGGATATCCATGCCACAGGAAAGCTGGTGATTTAGGTTAGGCAATATTTTTCAGAGATGGATCACGGAGGATTCAGTTCACTTTCACACTTACAACAATAAACACAAAGACAGAAGGCACTACTGAAATGAATGAATATTCCTAATATTTAGTGATACAGATGCCACTGAGAGATCTTTTTGGTCATGACCCTTATGCCCATCATGTATATCTGGTTATTCTTGATCACTAGTTTTTCAAAGATGCCGTCGCCTCAGGTGTGAGGTTATATTTCTTGGACAAAGAGAAAGAAAGGAAGACTTAAACAAAGCATTACATAATACAAAGGCATTCATGATCATGGTTAGAGTATTTAAGTCAGGTTTTCTGACATAAAATTAAGATAGGTAAATGTAGAAACAAACCATCTGTAAAACTTCTTAAATGTTCAATTCTACATTAACATTGCCTTCATTACATATTCTAACAAAACAGCCTAACCCATATTAATATATTCATGTCCTTATCTAATGCTTCCAACTTTTTTAACCCATACATATAATAGCTAAAATATTTTGATTTTTAACTTCTTTTAAAAAAGCTTAATTTGGCCCATAGATGCAAGCAATGCAAAGGCATGCAATAAGCTTGGCCAGTGCCTTTACAAGAGATTCTGAACACCTGTTTAGAGTATCACAGATGACAACAGGTATCTTTAAAGCACTCGGTAAATAGTAAATGTGACTAGGCACACTCAGCTCTAGAGAAGCTGGTCAGAGTTAGTCACACCACCTTGGAAAGTGAGTTGGCTAGGAACATGGTGTTTCAGCTGATCATCCCATCCCCATATGCACTCAGGAATCTTCCACAGCTTCTCCCACCACCTTTCTTTTGTGAATAAACAGGAAAAAAAGATGCATAAAGCTATATTATAAAGACTAAAAAGAAAAAAAGAATTAAAAATACTTAATTATCACTTAACATTGCTATCGTACTAAATTAAAATATAATAATCATGCCTTCTTAAAAACATACACAATACAAACTCTACACTACCAACTTTGCTTTTTGTCAGGAAAGAGAGTTCATATAGAGGAAGCAGGCAGTGTTCTTAACCCAACAAAACCTACACTGCCACAAGAATCTAAGTCAGGAGAAGAAAAAACTGAAGTTGAAATCTTTAAGGATGAAGAAAGGGAAAGGAAAAAACACAATTAAGTAATGGCTATAGCACAAAATTAACAAACCAAAAGGGAAAAACAAAAACTCTTTTCTTTTTTTTTTTTTTGAGACAGAGTCTCCCTCTATTGCCCAGGCTGGAGTGCAATGGTGCAATCTTGGCTCACTGCAACCTCCACCTCCTGGGTTCAAGAGATTCTCCTGCCTCAGCCTCCAGAGTAGTTGGGATTACAGGCCCGCGCTACCACAGGCAGTTAGTCCCAAGTAGCTGGAATTATAGGCACCTGGCTAATTTTTGTATTTTTAGTAGAGAAGGGTTTTCACCATGTTGGTCAGGCTGGTCTCAAACTCCTTACCTCAGGTGATCTGCCTGCCTCAGCCTCCCAAAGTGCAGGGATTACAGGCATGAGCCAACGTGCACGGCCCCAAAACAAAAACTCTTGGCAACTGGTTTATATGTAGTGTTTTCAGTATAGTCCAAAATTTCATCTTTAAACATTTGGTTTATTGAAACAATATCTTTAGGAGGAATAACAATGGGTAAAAAGATAATTAATCAAATATTCCTCTTAACTCAGTCTACAAAAATCTCAAGAAGTCAGAATTCAGAAAGAAGACAAAAGAAGAACGAGCTTAGAAGTATGCAACTTCCTGAAAAAAGTTAACAATATATAATTTCTTTCTTTTTTTGAGATGGTGCTGGGAATACAGGCATGAGCCACCATGCCCGGCAACAGTATGTAATTTCTTTTATGTCTATGTCAGTTTCTTATATATCTGACCATTCTATAATACTCCAGCTTCAATTTGACTTTTCTGGGCGATGAACATTATGGAATTAAACCAGAGGCAAGAAAGGAAGGGGGCAAAAAAAAAAAAAAAAAAACTACCTGAATACAACACAAATTCCAGAGTTTAAAAAAATAATAAAATTTGATGACCAACAAGGATTCTAAAATCAATTACGATATCCCTCCCTAAATAAATATACTATGAATGCTATTCTAACAAAGGCTGAATTTTCCTCTGACCACCAAGAATGTCACCTGAATATTCAAATAGCTGGATAAAGTGTTTTCAAGTTCATGTTTATAGGCAAACCACTGATATACTAGCTGAAAATAACTTCTCATTAAATGAGATAGCCAAGAATCTCTATTTTTTTTTTATTTTTGAGACAGGGTCCTGCTCTGTCACCCAGGTTGGAGCGCAGTGGCGAAATCTCAGCTCACTGCAGCCTCAACCTCCCAGGCTCAAGCAATCCTCACATCTCAGCCTCCCAAGTGGCTGGGAACACAGGCGCATGCCATCATGCCTGGCTTTTTATTATTTGTAGAGATGAGGTCTCGCAATGCTGCCCAGGCTGGTCTCAAACTCCTGGGCTCAGGTACTCCACCTGTCTCGGCCTCACAAAGTGCTGGAATTACTGGTGTGAGCCACTATGCCCAGCCAAGAATCTCTACTTGACATTTTATTAGCTAAACTGGAATGACAGAAATTATATTGTCTGATTCTGGTTGGCAAATGTAAATATTAAAGAATGGTAAAATCTAAAAAAATTACCTAAAATAGATACTACACGTTTCCTGTTTTTCTGTCAAACTAGGAAATTTTTACAATCACTAGCAGTGTTTCAAGTTGTCTCTGCCATCACTCACCCTTAGTTATAATTGTGGGTTAATAACTGATATTTCCAGGAACTTTATATTTACATACTTATATCACATTAAAAGATGTTATACACACTGCTAAAACTGAGCTGAAGCATAGTGGGAAGAAATCAAGCAACTCACACTTTAATCTCTGAATGAGTCTGTCTGTACAACGGGTATTGATTGCACTAAAAATGTGACTTAACACTAGTGACATTTTCATCACAGAATCTAAAACAAAAGCTCTGAAGGTCAGGAGCTTTGGGAGACTAGCTGTATTGACAGCACCTTCAACACTGTCTGGCATATGGTAGGTACTCAATAAATGTTTGTTGCATGATTAATAATTGAATATATTTGAAGAGACTTTAATAAGAATTTTTCTTTCACTATTTCTATAATACAAAATGTATACTACTGCAAGCAAAAATATTAACATCCCCAATTTCCCAATCTAAAAAGCACCAAATGAATTTTGAAGCATTTGTGATTTTAACAGATCTCACTGAAGCAATTTTGCCTTCTATTTAATGGCAAAAGATGGTTACTGTTATAGCAAAAGACTGCTATGCTCCAGAACAGTCTAGGAAAACACTAGGTATTAATAGATTTCACACACAAAATAGTCTTGAGTTTTACACAAACATATTCAAAACTAGAGACTAAATTATTAGGGGTAGAAAAAAAGCCCTTATATAAAATGTGGTCGTACATGTCTTTATGTCTCTTATCAGTGTATTCTTACCAGTTTCTGGCTGACAGAAAGTATACTGGCTGCTAGAGGAAGAGCCCATGTTAAAGTCTTCTGAACTCTGTGCTTCTTCAACAATGACAACTTCTTGATTTCCAATTTCTTCTAACTTAGGTGGCTCAAGGGTAACAATATCAGAATCATCACTGGCAGTTCCAATATAGATACCGTCTTCAGGTATCTTTTCTTCCTCTGCCTGAAGAACCATAATTTTAGAGATGGTAAATCAACAATGATTTAAGGGCCTTATATTTTCGTAGAATACAACAGTGCTAAGTATTATAGTAATCTGAGTTAAAATAAAAGATACGATTCCTCCCATTAGTAAAGAATTACGCAATAGTAGGCTCATCATATAGCTTGAGAACACTATCAGATCCCTTGACAACTCTCAGAATTAGATCAGACCACCGCGTTCTCCTAGTGGGCTGCAGAAGCTGAGAAGCCCACCTTTGCTCCTCAATAACCACAGAAAAAAGAGTTCATTTCTCTCACGAGTTCCATGGGTCTATTCGAGCACAACTCTGTAGCGTGGGAGCCCAAAAAAGACTCACTAAACTTTCTGGGTTATGTATGTAATAAACTTCAACAGCTGTATCTTGTACTGAATGTGTCTGAAGGTGTCCCCAAAAATTCCTAGGCTGGAATGTAATCGCCAATGTGATAGTACTAAGAAGTGGGACGTTTAGGAGGTGACTGAGTTATAAGGGATCTCCCCTGGGAATATGATCAAGGTCTTTATAAAACAGGCTTCATGCAGCATCCAGCCTTTTTTCGCTCATCTCCTCTTAGAGATGTAGCAACAAGACGCCATTTGGAAACAAGACAGCATGCCATCAGCAGACACTGAGGTTGTCCACGCTTTGATCTTAAACTTCCCAGCCTCTGTAACTGTGAGAAATAAATTTCTGTTCTTTATAAATCATCCAGTCTCAGGTATTTTGTCAGATCAGTACAAACAGACTAAAACACCATGTAAAATGATCATCTAGCTATCTAGTTTTATATAGAAGTCAGGTAAAACCCCAAAGGACAAGTCTTAGGTTGTTACCAAATTTTAAAACGAACCATCGTTTTAGACGTGAAACCTAACAGCTTAATTGTTCAATATAATTCAAGAATGCAATCTACTTCCAAAGAGAATTATATTAGAGGTGAAAAGATAGATCTCTAACACAATACCAAGAAATTACTTTGCTTAGATGTCTTCTAAGACATCTAACTTAGAAGTCAAAATTGCTTATAATTCAAAATAGGAATAGAATGCATAAATAGAGTTAGAGGCTTTAATTAGTACTCTAAGGATACTATTTAACATATATCCATAGAGTAAAATACAAGTTTACCTCAATTGTTGAGCTGGTTTCCTCCAAAGCTGGATAAGCAGTTTCTTCCATAAGCACTGTGCCATTTTCGCTGCTTTCTGATACAAAGCAAAGATCAATGTAATTATTTCTTAATTTAAAACTCTCTATAGACTTTCTGCAGCCAACATATAATCTGGGTAGATAAAAATATCTTCCTGCCGGGCGCAGTTGCTCACGCCTGTAATTCCAGCTCTTTGGGAGGCCAAGACGGGCGGATCACGAGGTCAGGAGATCAAGACCATCCTGGCTAACACGGTGAAACCCCATCTCTACTAAAGACACAAAAAATTAGCCAGGCGTGGTGGCGGGTGCCTGTAGTCCCAGCTACTCAGGAGGCTGAGGCAGGAGAATGGCATGAACCCGGGAGGCGGAGCTCGCAGTGAGTCGAGATCGCACCACTGCACTCCAGCCTGGGTGACAGAGCGAGACTCTGCCTTCAAAAAAAAAAAAAATTTCTTCCTAATATGTTAGAGTAGATTTAATGAAATGTCACATACAATTATAGAAGTCACTCCACTGTTGCTAATAAATTTTATTTGAAATTATCAGGTGATAATTTTGATAAGAAAATGCAATTATTTAAGCTTTTTTTTTTTTTTTCTTTTTCTGAGACAGAGTCTGGGAACTCTGTTGCCCAGGCTGGAGCACAGTAGCATTATCTTGGCTCACTGCAAACTCTGCCTCCTGGGTTCAAGTGATTCTCCTGCCTCAGCCTCCTCAGCAACTGGGATTACAGGCATATGCCACGGCTAAATTTTGTATTTTTAGTAGAGATGGGGTTTCACCATGTTGCCCAGGCTGGTCTCGAACTCCAGACCTCAAGCTATCTGCCCACCTTGGTCTCCCAAAGTGCTGGGATTATAGGCATGAGACACCGTGCCCAGCCACAAGACTTATTAAGAACTCAAATCAAAACTACCTTGACTAAGTAAATAAAACCTCTACCTTACATTGCCAAATTACTTGATCCAGTGTGTTTCTTAATACCTAATATGAAAAAATCGATCATTAGATACCTAGTGATACATTTCCTGCATTCTTAAAAGTTTATTCAAAGTTCCTAAAGACCATTCGAATGGCTGTCAATGCCTGCTACCGTAAGAATAAAAACCATGGCTTCAAACTATTATTTATAAAAGTATATATGAATATGTACGTGTGTGTGTGTGTGTGTGTGTGTGTGTCTAAATGCTTTACAAGAAAACATAAACTATAAAAAGCAAGGACTCAGGCTGGGTGCAGTGACTCATACCTGTAACCCTAGCACTTTTGGGAGGCCAAGGCTGGAGGACTGCTTGAGCCTACAAGTTCAAGACCAGTCTGGGCAACACAGCAAGACCCTGTCTCTACAAAAATAAAAATTAAAAAATTATTTGGGCATGGGGGTATGTGCCTATAGTCCTAGCTACTCAGAAGGCTGAGGCAGGAGGATTACTTGAGCCTAGGAGTTGAGGCTGCACTGAGCCATGATCATGCCACTGCACTCCAGCCTGGGCAACAGAGTGTGACCACGTCTCAAAAAAAAGTTGGAGAGAGGGGAGTCCAGGCACAGTGGCTCATGATTTAATCAAAGCACTTTGGTAGGCCCACATGGGAGAATTACTTAAAGCCAGGAGTTCAAAACCAGCCTGGGCAATATAGTGAGACCATTTCTACCAGCAATTTTTTTAAAAAAGAAAGAACTCAAAACACAGAAAAACGAAATGTCACTACAGAAGAAGTATTTTATAAGAATCTCCTCAAAGAAAATATGTACAAACAGAATGATGACCTCACAATATATTTTTAATGAAAAAGAGCATAAAGGTCGGGCACAGTGGCTCACACTTGTAATCCCAGCACTTTGGGAGGCCAATGCAGGTGGATCGCCTGAGGTCAGGAGTTCGAGACCAGCCTCGCTAACATGGTGAAACCCCATTTCTACTAAAAATACAAAAAATTAGCTGGCTGTGGTGGTGCACGCCTGTAATCCCAGCTACTCAAGAGGCTGAGGCAGGAGAATCACTTGAACCCGGGAGGTGGAGGTTGCAGTGAGCCGAGATCATGCCATTGCACTGCAGCTTGGGCAACAAGAGTGAAACTCCGTCTCAAAAAAAAAAAGAGCATAAAATATTAAGAAAAGTTAAAAATAATATATCAATTTATGAGCAAAGTATACCAAATATCAACAGTAATTACTTCAAGATAAAAGAATTATAGGCCATTTTAAATTTCTTTTGCTTACTATTATTTTTTCCCTATCATGAACATGCATTTCTTCTGTAATTTAAGTCCTGTAAAGAACGGGAAGGGGGGGGAATTATTTTTCAGCATTATATAGCCCCAAAAGAAAATGTATTAATTTGGAGGTACGATTCTGCCACAGTACTGGGCTGGGGTACTGGGGCCAGGCGCAGTGACTCATGCCTGTAATCCCAGCACTTTGGGAGGCTGAGGCGGGCAGACCACAAGGTCAGGAGTTCAAGAGCAGCCTGACCAACATAGTGAAACTCCATCTCTGTTAAAAATACAAAAAAATTAGGCCAGGCACAGTGGCTCATGCCTGTAATCCCAGCACTTTGGGAGGTTGAGGCAGACTGATCAGGAGGTCAGGAGTTCGAAACCAAACTGGCCAACATGGTGAAACCCCTGTTAAAAATACAAAAAAATTAGGCCAGGCACAGTGGCTCATGCCTGTAATCCCAGCACTTTGGGAGGTTGAGGCAGACTGATCAGGAGGTCAGGAGTTCGAAACCAAACTGGCCAACATGGTGAAACCCCATCTCTACTAAAAAAAAAAAAAAAAAAAAAAAAAAAACAAAAAAAAAACCCTAACTGGGCGTGATGGCGGGCACCCGTAATCCAAGCTACTCGGGACTCTGAGGCTTGAACCTGGGAGGCAGAGGTTGCAGTGAGCTGAGATCATCACGCCACTGCACTCCAGCCTGGGTGATAGTGCGAGGCTCTGTCTCAAACAAAAAAGAAACTTTTCTTTAACATACTCAAATATATGCATTTCTTGGAAGAAACTGTCCATAGCTTTCAGATTCTCAAAAGGATCTCTGACACACAAAAGCTGAGAATCACTTTTCAAATGAGAGTAGTAATCAACATGTAGGCTTAAAAAAGTTAACAGGTATAATCTCTTCTATTTCTGGACTTGACACATCCACTTTTTTCTCCTGAGGGGAAATGTTCTGTATGCATTTTACTGTAATACTAAAAAGTTAATGAGGTAATTTAAATATGAACATAAATGTATGCAGCCAATTGTTCAGGAGTCCTATTTCTCTATATAAATAATGTGTGCATCAAATCCCACAGGAAGTATACATAATACAGATGCAATACAGTAGTCAAATTCCATTTTATCAAATTGGAACCAGAGTACAGGCATATCTCAGATATACTGCAAGTTCAGTTTCAAACCAATGCAATAAAGCAAGTCACATGAATTTTTTGGTTTCCCTGTCCATGTAAAAGTTAGGTTTACACTATACTGTAGTCTATTAAGTGTGCAATCACATCATGTCTAAAAAAACTGTACATACCTTCACTTAAAAATACATTATTGCTAAAAAGCGCTAGTGATCATCTGAGCCTTCAGTGAATCTTAATACTGTTGCTGGTGGAGGCTCTTACTTCAAAGGTGATGGCTGCTGACTGACCACTGTGGTAGCTGCTGAAGGCTAGAGTAGCTAGGGCAATTTCTTTCTTTCTTTTTTTTTTTGAGACAGAGTCTCGCTCTGTCGCCCAGGCTGGAGTGCAGTGGCGCGATCTCCGCTCACTGCAAGCTCCGCCTCCCGGGTTCACACCATTCTCCTGCCTCAACCTCCCGAGCAGCTGGGACGACAGGTGCCCGCCACCACGCCCGGCTAATTTTGTTTTTGTATTTTTAGTAGAGACGGGGTTTCACCGTGTTAGCCAGGATGGTCTCGACTGCAATTTCTTAAAGTATAACAACACTGAAGTTTCCCACATGGATTGACTCTTCTCTCATGAAAGATTTCTCTGTAGCATGCAATGCTGTTTGATAGCACTCTGTCCACAGTAGAACAACTTTCAAACTTGGAGTGAATCTTCTCAAACCCTGCCACTGCTTTATTAACTAAGTTTGTGTAATATTCTAAATCCTTTGTTGTCATTTCAACAATATTCACAGCATCTTCAACAAGAGCAGATTGCATCTCAAGAAACGACTTTCTTTGCTCATCCATAAGAAGCAACTCCTCATCTGTTCAAGTTTATCATGAGATTACAGCAATTGGATCACATTTTCAGGATCCACTTTTTTTTTTTTTGAGCCGAAGTCTCGCTCTGTTGCCCAGGCTACAGTGCAGTGGCGTGATCTCGGCTCCCTGCAAGCTCCGCCTCCCGGGTTCAGGTCACTCTACTGCCTCAGCCTCCCGAGTAGCTGGGACTACAGGCGCCCGCCACCACGCCCGGCTAATTGTTTGTATTTTTAGCAGAGATGGGATTTCATCCAGTTAGCCAGGATGGTCTCCATCTCTTGACCTCATGATCTGCCCACCTCGGCCTCCCAAAGTGCTGGGATTACAGGCACGAGCCACCACACCCGGCCAGGATCCACTTCTAATTCTAATTCTCTTGCTACTTCTACCACATCTGCAGTTCCTTCTTCCATTAAAGTCTTGAACCACTCAAAGTCATGACGGTTAAAATCAACTTCTTCCAAACTCCTGTGAATGTTGATATTTTCACCTTTTCCCACAAATCACAATTGTTCTTAATGGCACCTAGAATGGTGAATCCTTTCCTGAAGATTTTCAATTTACACACATTGCCCAGATCCATCAGAGCAATCACTATCTACAGCAGCTACAGCCTTACAAAATTCATTTATTAAATAATACAAGCTAAATGTCAAAATTAGTCTTTGATCCATGGACTACAGATTGGATGTTGTGTTAGCAGGAAACAAAGCAACATGAATCTCCTTGTACATCTCCATCAGAGCCCTTGGGTGACTGACCACGTATTACTATACAACGTCTAGTATTTTGAAAGGAATATTTTTGTTCTGAGCAGCAGGTCTCAACACTCAGCTTAAAATCTTCAGTAAACCATGTTGTAAACACATGGCTGTCACCTAGGCTTTGTTGTTCCATTTACAGAGCACAGGCAGAGTAGATGCAGCATATTTTTTAAAGGCCCTAGGATTTCTCAAGGCATGGTAAGTGAACACTAGCTTCAACTTAAAGTCACCAGCTACATTTGCCTCTAACAAGAAAGTGAGCTTGTTCATTAAAGCCTAGAAACAGATACCAACTTCTCTCCAGTTAGGAAAGTCCTAGATGGCATCTTCTTCCAATAGAAGGCTATTTCATCTACACTGAAAATCTGCTGGTTGGGGTAGCCACCTTCATCCATTATGTCAGTTAGATCTCTTGGATAACTTGATGCGCCTTCTACATCAGCACTTGCTACTTCACCTTGCACTTTTATGTTATGGACATAGCTTCTTTCCTTAAACCTCATGAATCAACATCAGCTAGCTTCAGCCTTTCTTTCTAAAGCTTCTTAACCATTCTCAGCCTTCACAGACTTGAGAGAGTTAGGAAGGACCTAGTTCTGGATTAAGTTGTGACTTAAGGGAATTTTGTGGCTGGTTCAATCTTCTACCAAGACCACTAAAACTTTCTCCATGTCAACAATAAGGTTATATGGTTTCCCTATCATTCATGTGTTCACTAAGGACTTTTAATTTCCTTCAAGAGCTTTTCCTTTGCAATCACAACTTGGCTAACTATCTAGTCCAAGAGACTTAGCTTTCAACTTAGCTTTCAACATGCCTTCCGCCTTCCTCAAATAAGCTTAATCATTTCTAGCTTTTGATTTGAAGTGAGAGACATTCAACTCTTCCTTTCACCTGAACACCTGGAGGCCACTGTAGGTTATTAATTGGCCTGATTTCAATATTGTTGTGTCTCCAGGAACAGGGAGGCTCAAGGAGAGGAAGAGAGATGGGGGAACAGCAAGTCAGTAGAGCAGTCAGAACACACACATTTACTAAGTTCACTGCCTTTCATAGGCACGGTTCATGGTGTCCCAAAGGAATTATAATAGTAACATCAAAGATCACTGATCACAGATCACCGTATAACAGATATAATAATAATGAAAATGTTTGAAATATGACAATTACAGGCCAGGCACAGTTGCTCACGCCTGTAATCCCAGCACTTTGGGAAGTTGACACGGGTGGATCACCTGAGGTCAGGAGTTCAAGACCAGGCTAACCAACACGATGAAACCCCGTCTCTATTAAAAACACAAAATTAGCTGTGCACAGTGGCACATGCCTGCAATTCCAGCTGAGAGACTGAGGCAGGAGGATCACTTGAACCCAAGAGGTGGAGGTTGCAGTGAGCCGAGATCATACCATTGCACTCCAGCATGGGAAACAAGAGTGAAACTCTGTCAATTCAATTCAATTCAATTCAATAAAATAAAAATAAATGAAATATAATTATAAAAATGTGACAGACATGAAGTGAGCATATGCTATTGGAAAAATGGCATTAACAGACTTGCTCAACACAGGGTTGCCACAAACTTCAATCTGTAAAAAATGCAGTATCTGCGAAGTACAATAAAGCAAAGCAGAATAAAATGAGAGGTATGTCTGTAACTCCATAACATGATAACTGGAAAAGAGATTAGTAAATCTCTTGTGATAAATGAATAATTTTTTTCTTAACTTTAATAATGACAAGTAAATACAAACTACCAAGCAAATGATAAGTAATAGAAACTACCAAACAAATTCACGTTAAACCATGAAACACTTTTTTTTGGTCACCGGTTACCTCCGTAGCAACAAAGTGTATCTGAAAGCCCAAAAACATACTACAGCTGCAAATAAACCCGTGAGGCAGGCTGTTGGCTCTGGGTTCTGTGGGCCTTCATTAAAACCACACTGAAGTTTTTTTTTTTTTTTTTTTTGAGATGGAGTCTAGCTCTGTCGCCCATGCTGCAGTGCAGTGGCGCAATCTCGGCTCACTGCAACCTCCGCCTCCCAGGTTCAAGCGATTCTCCTGCCTCAGCCTTCGGAGTAGCTATGATTACAGGTGCCCGCCACCACACCCGGCTAATTTTTTGTATTTTCAGTACAGACAGGGTTTCACCATGTTGGCCAGGCTCGTCTTGAACTCCTGACCTCAAATGATCTGTCCACCTCAGCCTCCCAAAGTGCTGGGATTACAGGTGTGAGCCACCGTGCCCGGCCTATACTGTAAGTTCTAATCCTCCAATGACCACTTAGATTAGCCAGAAAGGCCACCCACCTGGAAAGAAGGCGAGACTCATAATATCATTCATATACTCTATTAAAAAAAAAAAAAAATCAGAATTTGTGAACCACTTACCTCCCTGCTCTATCTGCAATGCTTGAAGTTCCTCTTGCTCTAAAGATGAACATTCTGGGGTGGGCTCACAGCTGTCAGCGGCTGTCACAGAATTTAACAGTTCTATATCTGACCCCTAGGGAAAAGTGATAATCTTTCAGTTATTTGCCTATTAGCTCCTCAAAGCTAGATTTGACTACATGTAAATGCTTCTTCCATTATTAAAAGTCTCAGATGCTGCCATACTCCAAGGGAACAATATCTAATCAGACAAGCTTTTGTTCAATTTAACCCACAAAGGCCCATGGCAGGAAAATGGCAGAATGGAGTCTCAGGTTTAAATTCTAAGTCAGGTCAGCCCAAAAGCGGAATGCTCTATTTTATGAGCTCAAGCAATAAATTTGAATCCCAGAGAATAAGGGTCTAAATTTAGTTATTTCTGTAGTAATTTTTTTCGGCTTAACATTTATGGAACTACTCTAGACAAGGCACTTTGTTAGGTGTTGTAGGGTATAAAAAATTCAAATTCACAGCTAGGCAAGGTGGCAGGCACCTATAATCCCAGCTACTCAGGAGGGTGAGGCAAGAGAATCGCTTGAACCCAGGAGGCAGAGGTTGCAGTGAGCCAAGATTGTATCATTGCACTCCAGCCTGGGCAACAAGAGCAAAACTCCATCCCAAAAAAAAAAAAAAATCAAAAATTCAAACTGACAACGTATTCAGAGAAACAGCCATATGCAAATAAGTACTTATTATGGCAATATAAACTAAAACTGTTTAAAGCTTTAATGACATGGATTAAATAAACCTATAGGGCTAATGAATACTCTCCTTATACAATTTTAGACTATCTTTTTATTCTGAGGTTATCTTTCCTACTTTGATGTCAGACTGTCTCTTCATTAATAATAGCGGATCATACAATTTTTCTTTGTGTCTTAATTAGCAAAACAAAGTTAACGACCAAGGTGATTCTTTCCCTATGTCCCCACTATAGTCTGCTGACACACACAATTGAAAGGTCTGCATTCTCTTGATATACATAACTCAAGACAGCAAAAATTAAAAGAATTCATGACAAAGCAGCATTTAAGATGAGCCCTAAAGAGAATTCTGGATGCAACACTCTGAGGTTGTCTATAGTGGCAGGAGAATGGTAGAGGCTAAAGCAAAGTTAGAGTTGGATTAGTAACTGCTGGGGAAACCAATTCTGGCCCAAATCAGAACGGTGGTAATGGGAAAGGAAAAGGAACACATGTAAGAGACATTAGCAAGAAAGAGTAGATTCTGGAAAGCAGATATAGAAGAGAGATAAAAGTACAAATGTGATTTACTCTGGGACATAATGTCCAGTACAGAACACCCCAATGACATACTTGACTAAGTGCCAGAGAGGTCTGCTGTGATACTCCACCCTGCAGACTCACAGGTAAGACTACCATAGCTGCCTTGCTGCTGTATTGTTAATTATCCTTGAAGGAGAAGTTGCTATGGGAGTTGATCTAATCCTTTGAAGAAAACAAGTTAAAAATAGAAAAGTCACTGAAGATTTTAAAAAGAAAAATCATCTCAATCTCAAATGATACAGACGTTTTTAAATTCTGAAACGCAGAAGAGGCAAACTTGTTTTTTCTGTTAATGTTTTCTAAACATAACTACCTGAACCTTAACTGAGAGTAAAAAAAAACAATTTTTTTAAAATTAATTTTTAATTAAATTTTTAATTTAATTTTTAATAAAAAATTTTAATTCCGTCTCAAATTTTAAAAAAAAATGTTTTTTTTTTGAGCCAGAGTTTTGCTCTTGTTGCCCAGGCTGGATGGAGTGCAATGGCACGATCTGTTCACCACAACCTCCGCCTCCCGGGTTCAAGCAATTCTCCTGCCTCAGCCTCCTGAGTAGCTGGGATTACAGGCATGTGCCACCAAGCCCGGCTAATTTGATATTTTTAGTAGAGACGGGAGTCTCTCTATGTTGGTCAGGCTGGTCTCGAACTCCCGACCTGAGGTGATTCGCCTTCTCCTTCGCCTCCCAAAGTGCTGGGATTACAAGCGTGAGCCACTACACTCGGCCTAAAACTTTTATTAAGAAAACAAGTGAGGCTTACAATACCCTAAAAACAAATGGGAAAATTATAGATAAGTCCATTAAAACCTAGAGTAAGTATATTTCTGTTTATCAGTATACTGTCATTTTTCTTTTCCTTTTTTTTTTTGAGACAGAGTCTGGCTCTGTCGCCCAGGCTGGAGTGCAGTGGCGCAATCTCGGCTCACTGCAAGCTCCACCTCCTGGGTTCACGCCATTCTCCTGCCTCAGCCTCCCGAGTAG